GCCTTTTCTCTCTCGGTCGGCGGCAAGTGACTTTTTAGCTCTCTCTCTCTCTCTCCCTGTTCCCCACTCGAGCCCACTCCTCTCTCCTCCAGTGTTCCACACTACATGAGGACCCTCTCTTGTGTGCTCTCTTTCTCTTCCTCTCGTCGGCCAGTGCCACTGCTCCCGGACCCGGGTGCAGTGTGTGTAGGACCACTCTTGGACGGTGTATAGCAGCCCTCTGAGTTCTCTCTCTTCACTCTAAGAGGCCCTCGCCTGTGTGTGTTGTCGATGAGAGGCGCGAGTGCTNTCGTCGGACAGTGCCACTGCTCCCGGACCCGGGTGTAGGACCACTCTTGGACGGTGTATAGCAGCAGTGCTCTCTCTTCACTCTAAGAGGCCCTCGCCTGTGTGTGTGTTGTCGATGAGAGGCGCGAGTGCGGGGCTTGAGCGAGTGCCACTCTCTCTGGTTGTGTGCTGTACCCTCTTCAGCAGTTGACCTGCCGATCCTCTCTTTCTCTCTTCTGTATTATGTGCTCTGAGCTCAAGCCCCCTTCTCACTCGATCGCTCTTCTGTTCACCTCCTCCTCCTCTTCTCCATCTAACTTTCATCTGCTGGTCCCAACTGCTAACATATCTGACTGACTGTTGCTGCTGCTAATATGCAGATTAACACCTTGATAGGTCGCTGGCTGCTGCTGCTGCCGCTTTGTTTCCCTACTACTGCCACCTTTGTCCTGTCTTTTGTGCTGTCTGAATGCTCTGTGCCAATTGCTCGATTTTCCAATTGTTCTGCACTCATTAATCATTGCGTCAGGAGGAGGAGGTGTTTAGAACTGAGCATATGGCTGAAGGGGAGGGACTCTCTGGTAACCTTCTGCTCGATGTTCAAGAGTAGTCCATGTCGATGTCGTAGCTCTCTGCGGCCCCAGATTATCCCCTCGGCTCTTCAGCCCGGAGAGTGCGCGTGTAATGCCGTTGAGGACCGCTCTCCAGCTCTGTGTCTCGGTCGAGGACCATCACTCTCTCTCTCTCTCTCTCTGCCCGTTAATCTGTCCTCACACTGCAAACACTGGGCTGAATTTACGACGACGACCAGTCGCTCTTCGACATGTAAATCTTTTGCACTTTTTAATGGTCTGTTTGTGTCGGTATCGGTGCCTGAACTGACTTGCAAACGACTTGGCCGACTTTATGGGACTTCTGCTGCTGCTGCTGCTGCAGATGATGATGATGATGATGATGATGACGTTGTGATTTATGTGTGTGTGTTGGTATTCAGAGAAGGTGAAGTAGAGGTGCTCAGTTCAGCTGCTCAAGAGGTCTCCAGTTTGGAGGTGGTGGTGGTAGTGCTCCAGGCTAGAGTGCCCTGTTGACTGTTCCGATTAGGTGGTGATTGTTTGATGGAGGAAGAGGGAATAAATGAGTGAGTGAGTGAGTGACATTAATACAGGGCAAATATTTGCAGAGACAGTGCAGTGCAGAGGGATCATCCTCCATCGACAGAGATCGTCTCGTTCTCGTTCTTGCTCACCCCTCAATGTTCAAGATTGAGCTGAGAGGTGCTGTTGTCACTGACCAGTCGATTGGATCGGGTGGTGGTGGTGGTGGTGGTAATTGAAATTTACGATATTTGCGGTCATTACTTCAAATTAGAAGAGGGAGGACTGCGCGGGAGCACAGTTGGAAGCCCATTCCTAATGGAAATTAACGGTCAGTCGATGGGGGATTCTTTTTGCTATGGAATGCTTGCTCTCTTCCTCCTCGCTTCATTCCACCACTGCTCTGTTGACCATCATCAGTCAGTCGGTTTGTTTGCTTCTCCGATTGCTTCCCCGCCTGATCACGGGTGTTTCTTTATTCTCGTTTCCATTTTGGTTTCCATTCCAATCCATTTCATTTCATTCTACTCTCCATTCCATTCCATCAGCACTGGCTGAGGAAGAGGAGAGAAGAGCAGTGTGCACGGGCTCTGTGGAGGGGCAGGACAACAGCTGCTGGTGGGGTGGGCAAAACAGAGCGAGATAAACAGACAGAGAGAAAGAGAACTGAAGTCAGCTAAAGTCAGCTCAAGAACTTCGGCTGCTCAAGACATTGAGTTTGTTTGTAATTAGCAACTTCATAACCAGTTTACTAATCACTTTTCTATTCCACACAGAATCGAACTGAAGAATTTGGTGGTGCGCTCCGTTCTCTCTCCTCGATCATCCGTTTTACCAACAGCACAGTTTCAACAGAGCAAGCCCTGGGATGTTCATTCGTCTAGTAAGTGCTTTTTCCTTTTGTTTTGAGTTGAAAGTGAGCGTGTGTGTGTGTGTGTGTGAGTTATAACTTCCCGTTTCGGGAGTCTTCTGCAGAGAGTTTGGCTAATTATTAAAAGCCAAACTCTCGGTAGCTCCAGCAAACTCATTAGCGAGAGAGAGGTGCTGTTGATAATATCGTCCACCGATAGCGATGAAGTCTTTGCACCGAAAGCAAAGTGTCCAACTCCTCTTGTCTCTGGACACGTTTGTAGAGAGAGCCTTGATAAGCCTTCCAATTCTCTTTCTCTATTGTTTTAGCCACTGTTTGAGCACGGCTGAGCAATCAGTGCAAACTCTATTTTTCCTGCTTCTGCTTCGTTTGCCGCTTTCCTTCGCTTGGTGAGCCCATCGACCGGAAACCCGACGACTGCATTGCACCGAGTCGACTGCACTGCACTGTGGTCGCTTAATTAATTTCTTACCACAGCAGTTCCGAGCAGTTCCAAACGATAGAGAAGCGATTGGCTCGTAGTTGTCATCTGATTACTGCCTGCCTGACACTTCCACTACAGCGAACGCTCACTTCGGGTGCACACAAGTCCGAGCAGCAGTGAAAGCACCACCACTAGCACTCTTCAGTGTAGAGAGTGGCGAACTCACTGGCACTCTGGCAAGTGAAGCGGAATCCTCCTCGATTCTGCGGTGCTTTTTTTTCCAGTGCTCACACTCGCTCTCTCTCTCTCTCTCTCTTATCGCCTGCTGCTGCTGCTGTTGTTTCTGTTGCTGTTCCAGCAAATCTTCTATCAATTAGTTGCTTTCTCTGGACGCCTCCTAGGCTCCCTCCTGGCACTGCCACTGCTGCTGCTGCCACTAATGCTCCGGTGCAGTGCTAATGGTTTACCAGCAGCTTAGTCAGTGCTTTGTGTGTGTGTGTGTGTGTTGTGCCAGCGGATGTGAGCCTTGTTAATGATTGATAATGTGTGCTGCTGCTGTAGAAATACAAAGACAATAGCAGTGGCTGCTGATGCTCTCTTCTGCCTCTTGCTCCTTTCACACTCTATTATCGCCCAGTCAGTTTGGCTGTCTCTGTGTGTGTTTGCATAAACCACTATTCTCCTTTTCAGTGTTTGTGTGTGTGAGCTTGTCTCTTTGCTTCATTAATTAATTGTCTGCTTCTAGGAAGCACTACCACCACCACCACCACCACTGCTGTGTGTTAATTAGCTGCCGCTCTCACTCACTCACTCATTTAGCCTTTCATTTGTTCATGTTGCTCAGAGTTGACCTTTCCTTTTTGCACTTCTTCTTCATTTGACCTCGTTGCGCCGTTGAAGGGTCAAAAGTCAAAAAGGCAATTGATTTGTACTTGTTTGGCTGCTGCCGAGCTGCAGGTAGGTGAGCCCCCGGAGAGAGAAGGGCCCAGTGTTGTTTGTCTCGGCCAGACCGCTTGACGCTAGGTCCCTCTCTCTTTTCCCTCTCTTATTTGTCGGCCCTAGTGCTCTAGAGCCCTGCTGAGGAATCTCGAGCACGTGCGTGTGCACTGTGCCCAGCGATGAACATCGAGCAGTTTATTGTGCTACTGCTGCTGCATTGCTACATTTGGCCAACGGTGTCCTCTCTGTCCCTTACTCACCTCCAGCAGCTTGTGCAAATAAACGCGGCAGGTTGCCCAGGCGGCGGTGAAAGACTTGCCAAGATTTCTTTCTCTTCATTGCCAAGTGTTTGCGCAAAGTGCTTCGAATTCCTGTCAATTGGGCCGATCGATTTCCAGCTCTCTCATTGAGTGGCACAGTGTACACACTTGCACTTCTTTCACTTCTTTCACTTGGACACCTTTAGCTGCTGCTGTCGTTCATTGTCTGATCACTGCAAAACGATCGACAGTTTTTCTCCTCTTCTTCTTCTTTTTCTTCTTCTTCAACTGGGCCCGAGTTGAGCGCAGGTGTGCTGCTGCTTCTGTTGACCTTTGGGGGACCCGAGAGAAGTGGTGGTCACTTTAAGCTGTTTGGCTGATATCGATCCACTTTTGAAAGTCATTTCTTCTGTTGCCTCTGCTGCTGCTAAGAGGTGTCAAATTCCAATCTGCTAGTTGACTTTTGCCTCCCTTCTTTCTTGTCCGCTCTTTTCAATTTGGGCCCTATTGTCGGTGTCATCTTCAATCTTCTCAGCGGTGCCTCTCTCGTTTATCTTGTCCCGTTGACAAATTTGTGGTGTACACACATTGACCATCATCATTCACAAGAAAAAAGGGTTCACTTTGCCTCTAGGGCAAATCTTCTTCTCAGATTGTGTTTAGAGTGTGTGTGTAATAGAAGACACTTACCTGTTGTTATTATGATTGCTGTTGTTGACTGCCTGAGCCGGCGTGGCCAGGTCGAGGTAGGTGGGCGCCGCATTACCTCCCTGCGAGTCCTGAGAGTCGTGGTCGGTGGCAATCGGCGGCTGTTCACTCGTCTGCTGATGATGATGAGGAATATATCCCGAATATAATCCATCTCCAGCTGCCATTGAGCTGCCCGTTTGTCCTATCGGGTGGTCGATTAGGCCGGTGAGGAGGTAGGTCGTCTCGGCGATGGGAGGCAGACTGCTGCTTCCACTGCTGTTGTTCACTGACGTCGATTGCTGCTGTTGACCGTAGTAGACGGCGTTTGGGTCCAGTGGCTGAGAATGAGGAGGAGGTGCTCCTGTTAGTGCTCCTGCTGCTGAACCGTACGAGCTGTCGTACATTTCAGGGTTGTGGTAGCTTCCATTCGCTGACTGTTGGTGGTGATAGTAGGACGGATCAATGTACGAGACGGTGGGATCAGTGTAGGCAGAGTGACCTCCATTGACACTATTATTGTACACCGAGGAGCTGCCGTCCCAGCCGTTGCTGTAGCCGGTGCTGGCGGTGCTTTCGGAGATTGCAGGCGGTGCCACTTGATGATGATGATCCGGCACTACAGTCTGATCAGAAGTTGTGCTGATGGAGTTGCTGTTGTTGTGCTGTTCGCCAATCGCCTCGGCAATGACGGCACTCAGCGAAGAGGAGGAGGTGGTGGCGGTGGAGATCGAGGTTGAAGGAACGACGGTCAATGGGTTCTCAGTGGCAGCGGCGGAAGTGCCGCTCTGATGATCAGTCGCCAGTTGTGGGGAAGGTGAGGCAGTCGTAGTCGAAGCGGATGAAGAGGTGGTGGTGGTGATTGTCGATGAGGCTGACAGGCCATTACTGCTGCTGATCATGTTTGGTGTCATGATTGCTGCTGGTCTGTGTTTGTCTGTGTTTGTCGAAGTGCTGCAAAGCACTACTTGAAAGTTGAAGTGACGACAAGACCGATTATTGTTCGATTAATGGTCCTCGAGCTGCTGCTGCTGCCGCTGCTGTCGTACACTCAATGGGGTATTAACTCTCGGTGCCACTTGACGGCTAAAGTGTGCTCTGCAGAGCAGTTGAGTTGAGTTGAGTTGAGTTGAGTTGTTCTGACGAGTTTGCACTTGAACGGGTGGTGGTGGTGGTGGTGAAGAACCAGAGAAAGCTGTGGATTAGGTGAAGTGTAGTGCTGTTCACTCTCTGTCTCAGAGTTGATCACAGTCTAATGACACTGGGACTGAGCCACTTGAGAGGGAGGTAGGGAGGTTGAAAGGGACTCCTCAACTTTGACAGGCAGCGGATGATGATGGTGATGTGATCACTTGAAAAGAGAGGGCATTGAATTGAACTGCTGAAGGGTTTCGGCTGAGTGCTGCTTCTTTCTGTTTGGAAGAAAAACACTGTCATTGAGTTTGGAGTACTTTTTCCTACTCTCTTAATTCCCCACTCTACTGATCTGAAGTGAGCCTTGGTCTGATCTTTTGTTAGACTCTGAAAAAGGTGAGCCTCCTCTGACGGCTCGCTTTTTATATAGTGAAGGAGGGGGAGTGGACTATGATGATCCAAAGTATGTACATGATGATGATCGCCTGATGATTGCCGATTAATGACTGCTGATTAATCTGAGCAGACTGCTGCTGCTGGAGCACCTGATGGCGACTGATTGGAGCCGATGGATGCTCAGCAGAGCACATCGCTCTGCCTTGGACACGTACCTAATATTACCACTAAGTGTCGGCTTCACTGTATGCCCACAATGACTGTCTGTCTGTTTCTGTCTCTGTTTGCCTAGAAGGTCTGTGTCATCTTTAAGAGATGGCTTTGTGTCTTTCCCTTATCAGCTAATGGTGTATTGATTGACTGATTATTGCCAACTTATCGCCGGTGAGGCTGTTGTTGTTGGCAAAGACAATGCCTTTGACAGAAAGTCATTTTCTTTCTTTTTTCTTTCCTTTTTTTCCTCTTTACTTTGATCTGTCTTTCATTGCTCTTTTCTTTTTGTACATTGCTGCTGTGCCTTTATCGATAGCTAGCTCACTGCGCTTCGGCGCCACACTGTCGCTGACTTTTTGGCCACCGACGACCACCACCTGCACCACAGACTGTTGGTTGCTGTCGAGGTGATGGAAGTCAGGCTCACGCCACCACTCTGGTTGCAACTGGTCATGAGTTGGGGGGAACATTTTTGGGTTTGATTGAGGTTCACTTTTAAGTTTTAGATTCTAACTTTCTCTTAGCCTTCTTTAGCAGGTGCTAATTGAAAGAAAGGGCTCATTAGTGTCTGTGCTAATTGTCGTGATTATAGGTGAGGGTGCTCAATTAAGGCGAGTGCTTCTCGTCTTTGAGCAAGCCTCCTTCTCCATTCTCTCTCACTCGTGTCCACTTGAATCTTTAGCAGGGGTGAGAGAGTCAGTTCCGCCGGGGAGAAGGAGAGTGGTTAAGATGGTGCTCCAGTCTGGAGAGTCTGTCTTTGGATGTGATGTCTCTCTTTGTTTACATCTCATCTTCCTTTCTGTTTTGCCATCTAATCGGTTGTCTGCTGCTGGATCAGCTTTGGAACAAATGTAATTGGTGAATCAGTTTGTTTCGATAGCGGTGCTGGCCATTTAGACTGGAAAGTGCTGGTGTGCTGTTTGTGTGCTGCCCTTCTCTCCCATTCTTTCCCTCTTCTCCTAATGTTGACTCAATTAGTCAGAAAGTGAGCTCAGCAGCAGTCGGCTAATCTAATCATTGCATTTGCTGCTGCTGCGCCTTGACCAGATAGCACTGCTTCTGCTTCTCAAGTGGCCTCAAATTGACAGCGAAGTCCACTGGCTTGGTAACACCAAGCTTTGAAACCTTTGACCTGTTGCAAAGATGATGCCAATTTGCATTGATTTTAGCTGGTGATCATCTATTGGTCCCTTTAGTAGCATTTTGAACACACTTTGTGCAGTATCTGCACTGGTTGTGTTTTAGAGTACGCTACTTATTGCACGTCTCTTTGGTGCGATTAGTACCTGAGCTGTGTTGCTAATCAAATGCAATCGGCAATCGAGTGTCGTACGTGATCGTCTTTGACTGCTGCTGCTGCTAATTGCTAACTAATGACTTGTAATTGGTAGCACTTTTTAAGTGAGATTTGTAATTGAACGATCTTGTTTTGCATTTTAATAAGCAGATTCTGACTTACCCCTCTGGTTGACACTGAAATGTTTGCTGCTGCTGCTGCTGCTGTCGATGATAGTGGGCACTGCTGTCAGTTGTCCTCTTCAGTTGTCAGTTGTCACACTTGCGAGTCCACTTCAGGTGTGGTAAGTTGTTGTTGTTGTTGGTAGTGTCCTCTCCAACTTAGAAGAACAGAAGCACACTTGAGACCGAGCTGCTGCTGTCTGTTAATCCATTGAGCACTGCTCAGTTGAGGCCACTTGGCGACACAGTGTCTGCTGCTGTCACTGATGATGATAATGGTGCACCTTTCTACTTCTTGAGAGATGGCACACAATGAACAGAGGGACAATAGAATGATGAGGGTAAACGCAAGCAAGGTGCTCCAGTGTCTTTGAAGCCCCTCCAGGAAAGCTCCAATGTTCTCTGCCTGACAATTCAGCCTCGATTGAGGATTTGAATTGCCTGCTCCAGCTTAGCCTGTGTTTATCCCCTCTTAGCCTGTGTGTAGAGTGATCGACTGGCAATCGATTTCCATGGTTTCCCTTTGCTTATCAGTGTTCGGCAAAGTGCCCGTCTCCTTCTCCACGTCCCCAGCATCGGCCGCAACCTCGATGCTGCTGCTGCTGTTGCTGCACCCGTCAATATTGACATTACTGACGCGGCCAAGCGATAATTGTGCCGAGACGGTGCTCAGCAGAGAGAGGTGCTGTACAGTGTGCGCTCTTTTCTTTTTCTTTCTTTCCTTCTTTAGCTTGGCCAGAATTGTGTGCTTCTGCTGCGGAGCAATGTGTGCTCCTTCTGCTGCTGTTGCATATCTTTGCTGTCTGCCTAAAGTACACACACAGTTTTTGCTTGCCGAGTCAGCCAGTCAGCCACACACATACCGGATCGATATCGATACTTTTATTGCCCCAGCAGCAGCCACTGCAGTCTGAAGCCGATGTTTGGCTAGTCTGTGTGATGCAGCTCATGGCTGAACCGCACACACAAAACCAAAAAACTGGTGATTGCACCAACATGCTCAGACACTGATGAGGTGGAAGGTGTGCAGAGGTAGGTGATGATGATGATGAATGTCGCCTAGGACCGTTTGCATTCTATTTGTTCCTATTTGTTTCAACTACTTTTGCTGTTGTTGTTCCTAGCCTGCAAACTACTACTACTGTGCTTTTCAACTGATCAATCAGAATGGACTCTGCTCTAAACTGCTGCTGCTGCTGCTGCCACTGACCAGTGTGTGTCAATATTTGCTAGTGCTGCTGCTGCTGGTGCCTGTTCTGCTGCTGTTGTGTTCAGTGCCTGCGAGGCCATTGCCAATCGATCATGGCTGGTGGTGGTGTCCATGCCAGTGCCTGCAGCAACAGCAGCAGCAGAGCACTGATGCCAATTCAGTCGCCTGGTGATGACTCAGTCACAGAGTCTGAAGAGCTGTGAAGTAAGGGGTGAAGGATCACACTTTCCGCCTGTGATGCTATGTGCTCTGTGTGATTTGCGTCACTCAATTAAGTGCCGATGACCAAGGAGCACAGGATGCCGATTCTCGCAAGAATGTGCGCTGCTGAGCACACAAAGAGAGAGACAACACTGGTTGCCCTGATGCTCAAGTTGGAAACTTTTTTTGGTTGTGG